TTAAGATCCTGGGGTTTTTTAACACATTACTTCATGTGCATCACCATGCATCTTTCATACAATTAAACTTCCATGGAAAGGTGCCTTGTTATAAATTTTCTCAGGTTTTTGGAAGCCTTACTTGAGGTACTTATATAAAGAAAGCAAGACAATAATAATTCCATTGTCATGCCACTGTAACCCCTAGTCTGAGATTCAGCTACTGTGACTACCATGGCACAGCTATTCTTATCTGTCGGTATCTCGTGGAGTAAATAGTAAAATGCAACATAAACAGGATAAAGGAAACATTATGAAGGAAAAAACAAAACTAATGTGGCAAATAAGCAAGGTTGAGGATCACCATGCTTTCAGGGTCAATGAAGACTGACACATCCTCACCTAACTGACAATTGTCCAGGATAGCAAAGACCCAACAAGTGACTGTGGGTGGAAACATTTGCTGTCCTTGGTCCCAGCTGGAAACAGTGCTATCTAGATATTATTTTAAATACTGGCACAAGGTCTCTGGCAGAAATGGTGGTTAGACTTGGTGAGCAGCAGCTGAAGCTGCTGGTTTTGGAAGACCTGTATTGTCTCTACATGTGCTGATGGCAGGTATCCTACACATCAGTATTGTGCAAAACCCTGAAGACCTGCTGGATTTCTCCATACATTGGGAGCTGTAGTATCACTGGCCAAATATTTGGGGCTTACTTTGTTTTAATGATTTCTGTGTTTTTTTCCTCCCCCTTTTAGATGGGATCTGTGCATTTCCCTCTCCATTATGAGCTGCTGTGACCCTCCACACACCTAAGGCTGAACATGAGGATGATGCAGTCGTAACATCTGGAACTGCATGTGGCTGCCTGACTTCCCCCATGTTCAAGCCTCCAGCTGTTCCAACAGGTCTTGTTGTTCCCCAGGGACATTCTGATGACATTACAAGCTTCTAACCCACATTTCCATTGATACTAATTTATGAAATCCAAGCAACATCAAAAAGTCCATTTATACTCTGTGAAACACTGCAGCACCTGTACTCTGACAGGACAACAATGATAAAGCCATGGATAAATCTCATTACATTAGAAACAAGCAAAAGTACCTTACTTCATTTCAAGTGATGGAGATTACAAAGAACCTACCAAACGTTGCAGTGAAATCTGTCAACAGCAGTTGGGCTGGACAGCAGTGCTTCTTTCCTAAAAGACTCACATATATAGTATGATATATATATGCAATTTGTATATAATTGTGAACAACAGAAGTTCAAGATATTTCAGTTTTATGATTTTCTGACTGGGAGAAAACCATATAATGCACAGAATTTAAAGATGTGATACACTATAGCACTAGAACTCCTATAGTTGTGCTAAAGTGTGATGTGAAAGGATGAACTAACATATCTGAGAGCTCAGATTTTTCACCATGACCCCTTCTGAAATGCTCCTGAACAACCTCTGGATGAGATGATGAGACCAGATGGTCTTGGCATTCATTTCTTCTTGTCTTGTTTGTGGGAAGCCAGGTCCAATCTAGTTCTCTGCTGTTGAATATGCAGAATTTCCTTTTGTCTTTATTTCGGTCTTTTCTTCATTTTCTTGAACTAAAACCTAAAATATTAGGCCAGACAAAACTCTCACAAGTGTCAGTAGGAGATTTGTCAATGTAAACACTTCAGCACAGACCTGAGAATTCTTTGCACACACTTTCATCAAAACAAAGTTCTAAGGACAGCTTAAGTCTTGAAAACCATCTTACAGTAGCAAACAGAAGAGACTATCCACAGTGCAGGAAAAAATAATTTGTGGAGGATGGTACAATATTCTACAAAACACTTTACCTGAAGTTTTGTTATAATATTTGATGTCATTTGTTTTCTTGTTTTGCTTTACCTGCATACTGATCTGGAAAACCATCACTAAATCCAGCAGTATCTACAGCAGACTGTTAAGATATCTGCATCTGAACTATGAAACTCCTACAATGATAAATACAGCTCTATGTGGGCGTTGTCACAAATGAAGAAATTCAAGAGGCAGCTTTCCACACAGACACAACTGCATGTGCCTATGGTCTCGCTTGAAAAACCTGCACATTTTCTTTCCTATCTTTCCTTCCTCCAACACATCTTGAGCGCACCACGTGATTCCTACAAAATTATGTAATTATTTTATTCTGTGGTTCAACAAAGATTCAGAATAAACTTGCTGTTTGTTTGGTTTTTTTAAAAAAAAATCTATATCACTATGTCACAGCAAGTGTTTCCACATTATTTGAATAATGTCAGTCCTGGAAAAATTGTGTGTCACTTACATGAGGTCGTCGTTAACAGTAGGTGAATTAGCTTTCAATTTGCCACATGTCACACCTGTTGCCTTTTAAGCAAGGCAGACACCCTGGTTCAAGGAACAGCACGGTGGCCATGCCCAGGCCACTCGGTCCTTTGCACACAGACATCAATGTGATGGATGGCAAATGGCATTTATTGCAGGAGAATCTGACATTTTATAACCTAGGGTCACTGTGTTACTCCCATCTGCTTTCATCACAGCCAGGTGCTATTGGCTAATTGCAGGGGTCATTACCATACTAAAGAGGAGGGGGAGTTACTGTCTTTCCATTACATCCCGATATCTTCCGAGCCACCAGGCCCTGCTTCCACACACACCTCCTGTTTCAGTTCCTGTATTTGTTCAATTGTGAAAAGTTTTATGTAGGTAGATATGTAGATATTAAAAATCTATTTGTAATTTTATTCCTTTGCCATTTTCCCCCAATAAAAGACAAATTCCAAAGCTTACAGAACAAGAACAAAAGCCCTTAGTAAACTATTTAGAAATCTACACAAAATTATTATTACTCAATCCAATTGTTTATGCCTATTTCTTGCCTTGGTAATCAAGGATTCTAATTACAAATTTAATATCAAAAGAGTAACTAAAAGAGATATAGATGGGTTTGGGTGATTGTGCTGCATTTTCCCCATCAGTAAGGTTCTAATAGTTTTTTGGGCTTCTCTGTTTATTGGCAAAAGTAATCCCTAGTGCTGTGATTTCACTGATTAGATATTTTTACAATATTTTATTTGAAAGTGATTGATAACTTCATTATCTGACTTTTGCTGGCATTTATAAATTAAACAAAAAAATACACTTAAAATAATGACTGTTATTAAGACTCATATTTCAACTAATTTCCTGATGATCAACACGAAACAAACACTGGCCATGCTTTGGAGTGAAACAAAATTGTTGAGACATTAGGATCTGATCAAGAAAGATTCCACACATACATCACATCCCCTAATGTGGAAAGCCAAGCATGTACAATGTTTTCTATTACTATAACAGCCCCTTTCCTAGGAGACCACAGCTGTCAGCTTGGGAAGGCAAACAGTACCAGAATGCCCAGGAATCACAGGGAGAGAGAGAGAGACTGGGCTTCAGCTGAAGGCAATACAAAGAGGAGGAGCAGGAAGAGCCCAGGACTCCTGACATCAGAACACTGTCCTTCAGGCTCTCTCCATCATTTTCCATTGCCCTGGGATCTCTATTCGGTAGTAAAGGCACAGCTCCAGCAGCGATGAGATTCCCTTCACAGTGACTACATTCCCAGCCACCTCATTTTACCTCCTTCAGGTCTGCATGGATCCCACAGATACAGGACAAGCATCAAAGCTTTTATTCTCAGCACAGTACTTTTCTGGCAACAGTAGAAAAAAGCCCAAACACTTCAATTATTACATATATGTACAGGAAGACATTTGTGAAGAAAACAAGACAATAAATTGAGTTTTCTAAGGTGGCACCATTTCATTTATCTATCACTAACTGATTTTTTTTAATAATATCTTATTTCCCCCATTAAAAGGAGAACACAGATGAAATAGTGGTAACTCTCAGAAGTTCCCTAAAGCTTGCTCTCAAATATTTTTTTTCCTTTTAAAATCCTAAACCATATTAATGCTGAACACAGAAACATGTAAGTTGTTTTCTCTGGCATATATCAACTGAGCACTAGTTGTATCAAGTCTAGACATCTCAATTTAGTAGGAACTTATGTAGTGGAATAACTTATAATACATGATAAATAATAATATTTTTTTTAAATTCCACTTAGAAGACAAGGATACTAAAATAGTGATAAACTACAGTCTTCTGATAGCTTTTACCCTTCTTTCCACCTTAAAAAAAAACAGAACTAGAACAGACATCACAAGATAGGCTGACACAAAAAAACCCCTTGAAAAACTACTAGTCCACAGCAAGACCAACTTCAGCTATGCCTTATGCCCAGATTTTTTGCAAAAACAAAAAACAAACAAACAAACAAACAGGCTTTGTGATATACCCTTAAGAGTTTTTTTATGTTTAGTCTTTCATTTTAATGTCCTGAAAATAAATGAGCCATAGGACTGGATGGTGAAGAAGTAGAGATTGCACCTCCTTCTTCTGTGCTGTATTTACAAATGTATACCATATACTCACTGCTCATGCCATACCAGATAAAAATGAGTAGTGATCATGTGCCAAGACAACAGTTCAGAGGACATCAGAACCTCCAGCATGGTTTGTCACAAGATGAGCAGTGTTTTCTAAAGTGGGTTCGTTACTATTCACACACTGTGCCCTTTCAAGGTATTAGCCATCATTCCAGCTGTTCTTTTTGGTTAGACAGTATTGCTGCTGAAAACTGAGAGATTCAGCATCGACTGTTTCAGGGTTGTAATGCCTGAGCATGGGGATTTAATGCATTATTTGCATCAGTATAAGTATGGCAACATCCACACTCTCCTAATAACTGTCCATTGGCATTTCCATGATTTAAAGGTCAGCTGTAAGAATTTTAATGAAATCTGACACAAAATTTAAAAGAAACACTCTGTACAAACTATAACCCAGAGAAACTGATCTTACCTAATTTCAGAAGTTACAGTCTATAGACATTTACACCTTTAGTAGTTATAGAGGACTACCTGTCCTTTTTAATCTTTTTCTGATCAATTAGACCCTTTCCAAACCACAGTGCAAATATATGAGATGTACATGAAACATTTGCACATGTTTATGCACAGGAATTCTTAATTCTTGAAAACAAGGCCAAGTTTATTATATATTTGTACTGCTAGAATCGTGAAAAATTCTCAGCCCTCCATGAAAGTATGTGGGCTAAACTCCTAGTGTGTTAAATACCACGCAGATGTACAATGGCTCATAGTCTCCAAAACAGAGTTCATAATCTAACAGTCTGATCCATGGTGAGGGGCAATGAAGTCCTAGAGGAATGAAGGAAAGATGAAAGTTAGAAAAATAAAAGAACAGCTAAGCACTTCTGAATAGACAGTGCAGTGTCTGTGCTAAGCAGTGGCATCACTGTGAAATGTCATTAGATTGCACCCAGACAGAGATTTTCCTTGTCATTAAATGCTGCTTTTTTCTTTTTTCTGTATACTGACTTATACACACGTTCTTTTGAGGATAACTTGCATTCTGAAACTCTTACAGAGTCTTTCTGCATATCTTTATACCAAAGACATGTTTCTATTCCTTGAAGGATTCGCTGAATATCATGATGACAAGAGCAACTAGACCATATTCAGCACTTACAAATTTCAAGGAAATTTCCTTTTTCTTTTTTTAAAAAAATTATACATGAATTTTGATAGAAAAATTCGGAATGCAATTGCTTTTCTCCTGAATTTGTTCACTGCAAGATACAGTAGCAATTTATTTTAAATGCAAATACATGGAGATCCATGGAAAAGTAGAGGTTTGTTTAACAATTCTGTATTTTTATCACTTAAGATATTATAAAAGGCTCCTTAACTTCTTCAGAAAAATTAAGAAATCCAGTTTATTTTCTGGAGTGCAAATCAGCTGACCATTTCAGCTGTCTACTGATAGCAGCAGCCTTTTAGCTAGCTGTTCCTGGTCTTCACCATGGAAACAACTCCCTTGTTTGCTCAGCACAGAGTTCATCCCCTCTCCTTACCCAAATTTCTCAGGTACCTAAATGCAAAGTGGAGTTTAAGAATTTCTATCCTTGAAAAACAGACTTGGAAAATCTCCTTTGGAAGATAAATGCTTTTAAATGAATAATAAGCTTTTTAAAAAACCCCAAAAATCAATGACACCCCAAGCTAGAGGCCCAGAGCTGAACTCCACTGAGCAGTATCTTATCCTATCACACTGCTCAGTGTCTTGAGTTTAACATTACAGAGTGTATGTGCAGCTACTGCAGGAAATGGAACATGTGCCCACTCAGTTTACCTTTCACAAAGGACAGACCAGCAACTGCATTGCTCCATCCACTCTGCAAGAGAGACACGATTCCTTGGTTTGTTACCACATTATGTTCTGCAGAAAGTGTCTGATTTAGCAATCAATTTCAAATTAAAATACGTGTATTAAATGAAGTATAAACAAAGTTGTGAAACTGGAAAGAAAATTACAAAGCCATTTCTTAAAATTTTCTCTCTTATCTCAGCCTTGGATGTACCTGGCCCAACAGTCAGGTAAGATTTAATCTTCTTGCAAGTGAACCTTGGAAGGATATGATTATACCTAATTTGTAGTAAATTACAGGAAACAGAGCGTTAATTTAATCCTGTGTCACGATTTTTGCTCTTTAATAACTACTTTACAGGATAAGGGTTTTATGGCCCTTGGAAAGCAAAGCTGCTCACTTAGCCACCACAAAACTAGATTTTAAAAACTTTTCTTGCAGGATGAAAACAGCTGGGGGAAGGTATTTTAAACCTCTTTCTCCAAGCATGGTTCCATCAGTGTCCTGGCAATCCATCAGCTGGACAGCACTGCTGGGCTGCAAGTGCATGAAAATGAGAAAACAAGAAAAGTATTAATTTACCTTACAAGCTGATGAAAAAAAGCTATTGGCAAGTTTATGAACATGAAAAGCCAGCTGTAAGAATATTTCCACTTGTAAACAGGAAATACTTCCTTTCCCCTCAAATACAACGAAGATTTGGCAGAGTAATTTTTCCTCTATAAATGCGGTCACCTATCACATGGCAGTCATGGTGTTCAGAAGTGTGGAGAACTAAACTCTGTGTCACTCTGCACCAATACAAAGTTCTGGAAAAGTACCCAGCTAGGATGCTATCATACCAGATTCATATGTTTTTTGGTAGGTGAGCAGGTTTTTTTTGTTTGTTTGTTAGATTTTGAGAGTTTTTCAGTGGGGGGTTGTTGCTTGTCTCTTGGGTTTTTGGGTTTTTTTAATGGGGATAATGCTACTCCAGTAGCTCTGTAGATGTTCTTTAGAAAATAGTTAACTTCTATGCTTCTGGCCCTACCAGACCAATACCAAGAAAAATTAGGGTTTACAGACATAGGTCTAAACACCGGAACTCTTAAGGAAAAGAGAACTTAATCAATTTTGACAAAAAAAAAAAAAAAAAAAAAAAAAAAAAAAAAAAAAAAAAAAAAAAAAAAAAAAAAAAAAAAAAAAAAAAAAAAAAAAAAAAAAAAAAAAAAAAAAAAAAAAAAAAAGAGAGGTCTCAGAGGATCAGGTCTTTGAGGATGTAATCACACAGATTTCCAGGATAAAGAAATGCTGGAGTTTTACTCCTTTTATTTTTCTTTAATATATTGTAGTGGTGGCAGATCACTTACCTAACAGTGCTTTTTACACCAAAAGGCCGTGTGCCAATCCAGGTTTTAAAAAGTTCTTGTTCCTTTTTTTCGTGCCCCACTATTATAATAATCTCCTTCAATATATTCAGCTACCATATATTTAGGACCTTCATAAAGAGTACTAGTCCATGAAGAGATTTCTATTCAGTGCATAGATCATAAGAAAATGAAACATCAGAGATCATTTTTCAAGCAAGCCAAGGTCTTTAATAATACAGCCAAACAATGCTCTATACACACTGGAATAATCTTTTCATTATCTTTGTACGAAGGACACCGACATCTTCTCATTTTTCTCAGTGACATGAATCCTGACACCAAAAAATTCTGAAAACTCTCCTTCATATATTCTTGCTTTGATGAAGCATGTCCTTTGAAGTTCTGTTCTGTGAGTGCTTTTGGCTTGTGCTCAATTTGACATAATTAAACAACGTATTATATTTATGTATGCAAATAATCTCACTCAAAGTAAATGAAATGCCCTCTACACTCAGGATCAAACCCCTCATTTGGAAGAATGGAGGTCATTTGCCCTTTCTTGAGAGGTGCATTTGTGAATGTGAGATCAGAAGCAATCCCCAAAAGGTTTTAAATTATTACACATCATTTACTGAAGAGTCTGTACCACAAATAATAACTGTATATTAATAAATTGATTTTTATTTTCCTATCTTTACTTCTGGAAAGAACTTGTTATGCTTCTCTTTTTTTCACAACTAAACATTTAGATGCTCAAGTGATCTGCAAAGAATTTTTCATTTGTGCCCACATCTCCTGTTTTGCACTTGCATCTGGCATTTTATTGATTTCAATAAAAGTCTCTAAATCTTAGAAGACTTCCCAGAATGTCATTTCAATTTGTTTTTGAGAAAGGTTTTATAAAATTATGAAATATTTTTTTTTTTTTTAATTGAAACTTTCTTACTTCCTGACACTTTCAGCAGGGTGAACTGAAATGTTTAATTTGGCCTTTACCCTAGAAATTTTTCAATGTTTGTCTCATTATTGTCATAATTTCGAGCATTCCTCAAGAGGCACATCTTCCAGCCAGGGTAAAACTGAATATCAGTCCAGACAGGTAATAGCCCAGAAGTTGTATTTTCAAGAATATTTCTTTTTCCTATAAAAAATTAAAAAGGAGCTTAATGTTATGTCACACCAATTTCCTTCTTCTTTGCTGGTCACCCTTGAAAAAAAAAGAAGACTAGAGCATGATTCAAGTAAAGCAAGCAAATAAATAGAACTATAAATAAATAATTTCACTTTATAAGTTGTACATACTGTCCTAAAGGCAATGAGAATTATTCTCAGATGATCCATTTCCATATTCACCTGCTTCCTGCTATCAGCTTTAGTAGTAAATGTAATGAAATGTAATTTTTACTGTAATGAAGTAAAAACGTTGATGGTCATAGATGAATTGGATATGAAGGATTCTTTCTATGCAAAAATGGTATTCAATAACAAAGAAATACACTCACTGCTGGACAGTTTGGAGATTCAGTGCATGTATTATCTATATATTGTATATACATAGCTATATGTATTAATGGTAATTTCCAGAGTCACTGCATATTTCAGATTTATTTTTAAGATGCAGTGTTATGTACATTTTTTTTTTGTACAGTATTGTATATCCTGTACAGTTATTTATCAGACACTCTTAGTGTGAAGGCTCATCCTGATCATTTTAATTATCACAGGATCAGTTTGGCAATAACTGAACTATTTGGTATTTGACCGCAGGTCCCAAGGGACATCTTGGCTCCTTAGGATCCGAACTTGCTCCCTAACTTAGAGATGATTAGTTTGCAAAAAGAAGATACACAATGTAAGTAGTCACTCACAAGTGAAAATCACTTGAGGTTCCCTAACCTCTGGTACACTATTACATTGTCAGTTTTAAACTAACTAGCCACAAAACTTGAGATCTGTGCACTGATGAGAATACAATTAAAAATATTCTCCTGTAGTGAAATACACAGATTAAAAGCAAGCAATATCAAGAGGCTGTACAGAAAAAAGAAGGGAAACGTCTTTCCAGGAACATGAAAAAAGCCCCAGCCACAGCAGATCTATTTTTTTATGAGAGTAGCATGATAGGAGTTCATTCCTTGTTTGTGTGATCAAAGACAGAAACCCAAAGAGACCAGTGCAGAACTTTTACCCTCTCATGGAAACTAAAGGAATTACTTAACCATAATACTTTCCAGGAAAAAACCTCTCTGGCTCCAATTTATATGGCTACTACTGGGGAGTAGGTTACCTCCTTGTAGGAGTTTCTTCTGAAAATCCCTGGAGAGGACATTAAGGTTAACCACTCCATTATCTTTCTGTAAGATAGGGTAGCAAGTCTCTTGGGAAATATTTTTTTTAAACTCCCATAGAAAGGAAAACCAAAATATGTAATTTTATGGGGTGTTTTTAATATTATTACTGCCCACATTTACACAGTAGACACCACTTGGTTTCTTTAGGGCTCCATCTAAAGAACTAACATGAAAGATATTTGGAATTATCTGTATCTGTTATAGAAAAGCAAATGTTTTAAAACAGCTTGAAGGGGATTTTTTTTTGCTGTGTGTCACCATTCTTCAGAACATGATAGAGCCCAGAACTGTGGTCATGATGAATTTAATAGAAATCTATCACTAATAAAGGTAGGTGGATGGATGGATGGATGGATGGATGGATGGATGGATGGATGGATGGATGAATTCATACCCAGCTTTTTAAACAAACCCTTTATCCAAGTAAATTTTGTTTTTCATTGACATTAATCAGGTATGTAAAGATTTTGTATACCAGCATGGAGAGCATATGAACAAACAAAAAAAAGTTCTATTGAATACATGTTGCCTACATCATTTTAGATTAGGCACATGCTATGGACTGTGGCAGGAATATTTCACAATTTATTCAAAAGGAAGCCAGAGGATCATGCCACTGAAAATCTGCTGAGAGGAGCTATGGAGAAGAAACACGATTTCAAACATGAGACATGTTTCTTAGTTGCAATTTTTAATTATTTTTTTCAACAGCCACTTCTTATATTCAAAAGAATAATCAGAAAGACAGGGGCACTGTGTAGCACAGTACATGCCAGCATGGCAGTACCACTTGCTATAAAACGTCTCAAAGCTTTCTGTGGACCTTTGCCAGAGTATGCTTTATGCACAAAATACTATGATCTACATTGGAAGGTTTGGTGCTCAAACTAAATGTTAAAATTTTCTTTGTTTCCCTTTGGGATAAATAGCTTTCATCTCTTAAATACACCAACACTTCACACAATTTACATAAATGGGAGAAGTGCAGTCTGGATTGTAGCCTCTGCAGTAGTTTTTGCCCCCTGGCTCAGTCCCAGGCAGGCTTAGATAGCCCTATTCAATGTAATTATGCACTCAAAGTCAATTTTGTTGAGCCTGATACAGAGTCTGGCACCAAGAAAGTTAAGAGAATCATTCCACATAGCATTGCTACTAATACATCCATTCTGGGAGACTGGAATGGGTCTTAGACAATATACAGGCACTGGCTAGCTCCTTGGACATGGGTAAATGTCTTATGGTGCTGCTGGAAGGAGGAATCTCACCTGTCACAAACAGCCTCAGTGATGTTCTCAGAGACCAGCAGCTGAAGTCAGATGCTGTGGCAAGTGTTACATGCTCCCTCTCACACAGCTCAAGTAATGATACAAACCCTAGTCTTTTGCTATCATTTTTAGTAAAGAACTGCCAAGGTACACAGATATTTGAGTATATAGCATGCATTGACAGACCTACATACTCAAGTAAGTCATCTTGAAGTGTTCCTCTGAAAGAATATATACAAGGAAGCTGATATTTTCCAAATGCTCCAGTCACAGGACACCACAATAAGCTTTATTACCCACTATCAAATGCTGATTCCATATTAAAACATGCTGTTTAGCAGTTTAAATAAGACACATTCATTGTCAGAGTCCTAAGCACTCAGTATTCATTATAGGAGAGCTAAACACCTCAGAAAATTTCATCATTTTCTCAATAAAAATCCATTGGTTTAACCACCCAACTAAACATCAGCAGCCTGATGTTTACAAACAAAAAAAAGTTTCTTAACTGAAATGGATATGTAAGTTCCTGAACAAAACAACATTGCCACAGGAAAAAAAAGGAAAGCATTTATTTATTTTTAACCCATGTATTTTTTCTTTCAAGTAAGTAATGATTTGTCGAATTT